AAACTTCCTCCTCGGGCGTCGGAGGTTCACCCTTGGTGATCGACAATAACCCATTGACCTACTACAAGACGCAAAACACGATGACTATGTTACCACACGGTGATTGAGCGCAGGGTCGGAGCTCAAATTTTTTAGCTCCGCACAATTCTGCACTCAAAAGCACTTGAGGGGAATTCTAAGTGAGCGTGGGAATATTTTTTTTTCTCAAAAAAAAAAAAAAAAAAAGAGTTATAGACATTTTTTAGATCTACAACTTCATGTTTTTTATTATTTTTTTATTTATTATTATTATTTTTTTTTAAGTTCGATGGTTCCGTTCTATTCGTGGGGAACTGCACCTGCTGGACAACGGGTCCAGTATCCCATTCATACATAAATCCAAGATTCATGGAAAGAACAGTTCTGCTACACAACAGTTCCAACAGGTCTTCTAGATCTCTTCACCCCAAGGCACCATGAAATAGTGACTAACTAGTCCTTTGGACCTGCTGAAGCTCATACTCAATCAGGTCAGTCAGGTTGTTCCCGGGAGATTTCAGTGGAGGATGTTGTTCTCGAGTTATGCAAGATGTGTACTAGAATTCTTCCCTCTTCAAGGCGGGCGCGGACCCATCAACCATGGCTCAATGCAAATACCCCAAACAACCTCAACATACGCACCTTCTCACCCCAGGATTTGAAAAAACAGAGTCTGGTGCTCCTTTTCTTCTTGCCCTGGTTAGCCTTCCTTCAGTTCGCCCATATGAGGGCTCTTACGTTCGCTAAGATGAGGTTCATAATGACGAGGTCCGAGTAAAATTTATTGCGGAAGAGTCTATCATTTCTCAATGTCCAAATAGTATGCATAATCGTCGCTCTGCACGAGATGGCTACATAGGTCCAGCCTTGTGCCACTTCTCGTGCATCAACAACTATCCCTTCCACAACAAAACGTTCGTCCCACTCTATCTTCACTCTCACATGCTTGTCCCATAGGCTCTGCCACCATCTCCATATCCTTTTGGATTCAATACAGTCCCACCATAGGTGCGTGGCAGACTCCTCTTTCTTCCTACACCTACAACACACGGCCTCAACATACATTCCCTTCCTTGCCAGGCCCTTTGTTGTAGGGACTGCTCTATGTGACGGCAACCAAACGAGACTCCTGCATCTAACCGATAAAATTTTCCTCAGATCCCGCCACATTTTCCTTAAGGATGCTGTTGTGACCTTGGAGACAGGTGAGGACCTTTCCTTGGTCTCCACAACCCATCTACTTTTAACTTTCAGCGGCAGAACAGAAGATCTAATTTGCTCCCCGTATCCTGTTATGGGTTTATAATCCAAAAGACACGTTTTCTTTTCTAGTATGCCCTCCTTCCAGCCCATGTGCAGTGGTAGCACAGGTAACCTGTATGCAGGTTCGGTGCCAACAAGGCATTCATATGTAATTTTATCCTTGTCTGTTTTTTTTTCTCTCACAACCACTGATGCTACCTTAGGACTGAGATGAGCTACTTGTTCTTCAGATGGTACAACATGAAGAACAATATTTCCCTGAGTTGTCCGTACGGCACATGGCTTTATGATCGCATCTTGAGTGTCCAACAACATTACTACTTTGGAAATTTGCACCTCTCCATCAATGTTCTTATACCTAGTCCAACGACCTTCACAAACCTGGATTGGGACCTTCAAAATTTGTTTCCAGCACTCTGGGACACTAACAATCATCATCTGCACCCTTTTCAGTAACATTGTGAAGATGATGAAGGCGGGTTTTTAGCTCATATGGGGATCTCCACTGCTCCAACTTTGAATCCCACATATCTGCTACTCTAGATACCCCCCGTTGTATCCAGGATCGACCAAAGTTCCCGGGGGAGTCCGCAGCGGACCAGGCAAAGCCAAACTCATCTAACAGAGTCGAGTTTTCAAAAATTCTCTGGGCTAGAACCTCCTCTCTAGTACTAGCGGGTTCCAACGAGGAAGGCATAATCCGGCCCTAGGCTGCAAGGATGCCCTTCCATGTTGGTAAGTTTATATTACCGCGGACGAAGGAAGGAGTCATGAGGGCAACCCATACATCCTCTCTCCGAGACAACATCCATTTTTTGGACATAATATCAATGGCCGATTCCACCCATGGGTGTTCATTTTTTTTCTACTAACAACTTAACTACCCATCTAGCTAGGAGTACGTTTATTTGAGATTCTGGGTCCAGAACTCCCAGACCCCCATCTTTTTTTTCCCCAATGATCTTGCTCCACGCAACCTTGGCCACATATGTAGTATCTTCTTCACTTGCGCCCTTCCAAAGATACTTAATGGAGAGGGATCTCGGTCGCTTGTATGTTTGTCTTTCCAGGCCTCTAAGGGACCTTGGATACCATGCAATGGAAAAAACTGATGTATTCAGGAATAGGGCCCTACCCATGATGGAGATGCTCTTGACTGAAGAGATCTGATTCAGTCTGGATACCATTTTTTTCTCGACCACTAAGCTTGCATGATTCTTGGCATCATAATACCTCACCTGCACACCCAAGAACCGCTCTCCTACTCTAAGTCCTTTAATGTCCAGATTTTTCCTAATCATGCTCATTAGCACTTCCATTTGTATAACAAAAAGCATGGTAGCCAAAGGGCACCCCTGTTTCAAAGACCGAGAGAGCGGAAAATTTTCTGATATTTCCCCATTGACCATCACCCTCCCTAGGCTTTTAGTATAGAGCGCTTTTACCCAGCAACGAAATATTTCGCCAAATCCCGCCTTTGTCAGCGTGTCAATAACAAAATCCCAATTCACACGGTCATGCGCTTTTTTTAGGTCTAATAGCAGTGCTACCACCTCTTGTTGGTCGTCTTTCATAATTTCTAATACCTCAATTGTTAAACCACCAGTACCTCGCCCTGCTTGAGAAAAACGATGCGGCCGTATACGCGCCGCGTCGGGCGGGATACCCACCGGGGTGCGACCGGTAGCCCACAAAAAACAGGCAAAAAAAAAAAAA